AAGAGGCAGAGAAAGAGATCGCCCACCTCCTGATTCACTCCCGAATGCCCGCAATGGCTGAGGCTGGACCAGGCCAAAGTCAAGCGCTGGGAACTCAGTACATACTGCCCACATGGGAGGTGGAAACCCAACCAGGTACACAGTAGCTCAGAGCTGGGACTTCAACCCACCCACTCCCATATGGGACACGGATGTCCCAACCAGTGGGTGAACCACTCTGCCAAATGCCTACCCTGCAACCTTCCAAGTGTATCTTTCCACAAACTCCCTGAAGTGTGTTTTTTGGAAGAGACTTGTTGAGAGGGGCTTAAGTTTATCCCTTGCTCTGAGGAGATCTGTAGCCAAACAAATGCACTCCTTTCAAGAAGCAATTAATTTTATAAAGATTTATTTTATTTATTTGAAAGACAGACTTACAGAGAGAGGTAGAGCCAGAGAGAGAAGTCTTCCATCCGCTGGTTCACTCCCCAGATGGCTGCAATGGCTGGACCTGCGCCAATCCAAAGCCAGGAGCCAGGAGCTTCTTCCAGGTCTCCCATGTGGGTGCAGGGGACCAAGGACTTGGGCCATCCTCTACTGCTTTCCCAGGCCACAGCAGAGAGCTGGATTGGAAGAGGGGCAGCCAGGACTAGAACCGATGCCCATATGGGATGCCTGCGCTTCAGGCCAGGGCTTTAACCTGGTGCGCCACAGCCACCGGGCCCTCAGAAGCAATTTCTCAGTTTCCTACCCAGGGTCTTCCTCCTTTCTCACTGAAGCAGATGCGATTTGTCTGTACCTGAGCCAAGCAACCCCAGCTGGAAATATTCAAGGCCTGGTTATGCCTTGGCTGAGGTGGGCTATGTAGTTAGGCCTGCGGCTGCTACATCCGTATTGAACATGTACAGATATTTTTCTTGTCATCGTCCCCTTAAACAATATAGTATGACAACTAATTACATAGATTTACAATGTACAAGGTTTTATAAGCCATCAAGGTGATCTGAAGCACACAAATGGATAGACAAAGACTGTGTCATTTTATATAGGGAATGTGAGTTCCCAAGGAGTTTGGTATCTGAGGGGGTCCTAGAACCAGTCCCTTGTGGATACCAAGCGACAGCTGTATCTGCCCCACTGCCCAATGCAGGCATAAAGGTGCAAGTCAGATGGCACCAACAAAAGGGCCCCACATAATTCTTCTGAACAGCTCTGCTTGAAAGCTCCCAGTAGTTTCTAGCTAGGTAAACACACACACACACACACACATTAAAATGGAAAGTGGAAATTGGGGCCCTCCTCCAAGGAGACTGGCGCTCCATTCCCTGGAAGGCAGAGGCACCAAGCATTCTGATGTGAGATGAACTGAGGTGCCAGCCATAGTGAAGACACAGTGAACAGGAGACAAGGCCTCTGCACCCACTGCTGCTCACTCACTCCACACAGTGACCAGTGACCGTCCATACAGTGACATGTGACAGTGACCGGGCACTGGCACGTGGCAGGTGACAAGAGCCTAAATACATGGCACCTGTGATTTCACAAGGGCAGGACAAATGGAGTTATGAACAACTCAGAGTGAACGAGGGGACCTTGCCTTTGAAAGAAACCTTGTGGTTTTTCTTCATTATCTTCGTAAACATGGACTTTTGTATGGTGGCTTTGCACCAAACAGAAAACAATTCTGATAGAATATGAACATAAGCTTGTCCCATCAGCCCAGCGGTGTCCACCTGAAGTTAACATCACCCTAGCAACTCATAATTACTGCCCAAACTACCCTGCACGCGTTTCTCCCTTAGGGAGCTTGCCTTTAACCTGGGGCGCTGGGAGATTTAACAGGTTCATTCATCTCGATGTTATTCTACAACACAAACGCCGCAAGCCTACGAGTTCTTCACGTTCTTCCTTGTACTTTCACACTCCCCTTCCTACTTCTTACTCACGACACCTTCTGATTCTGTTTGACACATGAGGAAGTGGTGCTTTGAGAGAGCAGTGACTCATGCGGGAGGATGTGACGAGGCAGAGGAGGCCAGAAGTTACAAGTAGGTCAGTGTTTTTCCCCCTCTGAAGCCAGCTCCAGTCCTGCAGCCCTGGCTCCTGCCCTGGCTCCTCCCCAGCCACAAGCCCCAGGGGATTCACTTCCCGCTGGCCCCCTGACTGGTTCCTCCCGCGCCCAGCAGGGGATGGCCCTGCAGGTGCCTCTCTGCTCCAGGAATACCCTGGGACTGGACAGGAGGGTGAGCAGAGGGAACTGCCCGTCCGAGGAGTCCCGGCTCTGCAGACAGCATACGGTTCCCTCTTACCCCTTAACCCCATGCAGTTGGCTGTTATCACTTCTGGATCTTGTACAAAGAGTGTGTGCATTTGGGGGAGAACTTGCACTTCTCAATAATCTCTTAGACACCCTGCAGGGCTAATTTGCATATCTCCTTTATTCATGTTTAAAGATGGTGGAGCAGTCAGCACTGTGGCATAGTGGTTTCGGCTGCCACCTGCAGTGCCAGCATTCCATATGGGCATTGGTTCCTGTCCCAGCTGCTCCAGTTCTGGTCCAGCTCCCTGCTAATGGCCTGGGAAAAGCAAGGGAAGATGCCCCAAGTGTTTGGACCACTGCCACCCACATGGGAGACTCCGATGAAGCTCCTGGCTTCAGCTTGGCCCAGCCCTGGCCACTGCCACTGTCTGGGGAGTAAACAGTGGATGGAGGATCTCTCTCTCTCTCTCTAACTCTTTCAAAATAAATAATTCTTTAAAAAATATTTTAAAGGGGCTGGCACGATGGCACACTAGGTTAATCCTCTGCCTGCGGCGCCAGCATCCCATATGGGCGCCAGGTTCTAGTCCCGGTTGCTCCTCTTCCAGTCCAGCTCTCTGCTGTGGCCTGGGAAGGCAGTGGAGGGTGCTTGGGCCCTGCACCCGCATGGGAGACCAGGAAAGAAGCTCCTGGCTCCTGGCTCCTGGCTTTGGATCGGCACAGCGCCGGCCATAGCGGTCATTTGGGGAGTGAACCAACGGAAGGAAGACCTTTCTCTCTGTCTCTCTTACTGTCTACTCTACCTGTCAAAAAAAATATTTTTAAAATACACAGATGCAAAGCCACTGAGGCTCGCAGAGTTAAGCTCCTGCCCAGGCCCCATGGCCAGGAAGCCACAGAGCAGCGACGCAGCCCAGCGTGTCTGGCCCATGCCCAGCCCATACCCACGTGGGACATGTGACCGCTGACGAAGCGAATGCATTCCTATGTCCACACCTGAGTGTGAGCCCAGCCTTCCAAGAAAGCCACCAGCACCCTGAAGGGGCTTCTAGAATGTCTCGATTGTCGTTTATGCTAATAACCCGAGCACACTTCCTGCTGCAGACGGGCACGTTCTATTTCCTCTCCGTTGCGACTCTCTGTGCTTGGCTCTGGCTGTCAGGAGAGCATTTCTACCCAACTTTCAACCCAGAGACAGCAACAAAGACAGCAGCCGGAAGAGGCAAGCCCGGCCCTCCCCCCGCGCTGCCACCAGAGAGCATCTGAAGCCAAGAAGTACAGGCACTGCCGTTTAAAACCCGGAATGCCATGGATCTTGCCCGGGTGGCCAGGGGGCTTGAATCGCGCAGGCATTTCCCATCACTGAGGTTAGCGCAGCCGATGGTGATACCTGGCTCTCAGATCGGCACCGAACCCCCTCTCACTGTGGCTGTGGAGGGATGAGATCCGGACCACTCCTCACGCTGCACCTGCGACTCTGCTGCTGTCTACAGAAGGGAGGGGAGGGGCTCACACTGGGGGTGGGAGGGGTCTCGCCCTGTGGAGAGGTGGGAGGGGTCTCGCCCTGTGAGGTGGGCAGGGTCTCACACTGGGGTGGGGGGCTCAGACTGTGGAGTGAGGGGTCTCACACTGTGGGGTGGGAGGGGCTCACACTGTGAGGTGGGAGGGGTCTCACACTGTGAGGTGGGCAGGGTCTCACACTGGAGTGAGGGGTCTCACACTGTGGGGTGGGAGGGGCTCACACTGTGGGGGTCAGAGGGGTCCCAGATTGTGGGGTGGGAGGGGTCCCAGATTGTGGGGTGGGAGGGGTCTCGCCCTGTGAGGTGGGAGGGGGCTCACACTGTGGGGTGGGAGGGGTCTCACACTGTGAGGTGGGAGGGGTCTCACACTGTGGGGTGGGAGGGGTCTCACCCTGTGGGGTGGGAGGGGTCTCGCCCTGTGAGGTGGGAGGGGTCTCGCCCTGTGAGGTGGGAGGGGTCTCACCCTGTGGGGTGGGAGGGGTCTCACTGTGAGGTGGGCAGGGTCTCACACTGGAGTGAGGGGTCTCACACTGTGGTGTGGGAGGGGCTTCACCTTGTGTGAGGTGGGAGGGGTCTCACACTGGGGAGAGGGGTCTCACCCTGGGGGGAAGTGAGGGGTGGTCTTGGAGTTGTCATGGGAAGGCTACTCTTCGGACATTGGCGCTGGGCCACCGTCTAGGACCCGCCTCAGAGCGGTGGGCTGGGAGTCCCCTGTCCCAGCGCTGGCTGCTGGCCCAGGAACCAGAGGGGACCCCGGGCGCGGTCCACGTAGCACTGCGCGGGTCCCCGCCTCCTCCTCGTGGGGGCGGATGCCACTGCCCGCGCATTCAGTCCAGCAAGGACGCTCGGCCTGGTTCCTGTCCCCTGGGAGCGAGCTCGGGACCCGGGGAAACCCCGCGGGGCCGCACCGCGCCCGGGTGTCCCGGTGAGCAACGTCCACGGGGCGGCCGCCTGCGGGTCACGAGGGGGAGCGCGCGCTGGGTGCCGTGGCCCCGGCCCGCACCTGCGCTTCCCGTGCGGGAGCCCGCACCAGCCCGCCGAGTCCTGCCCCGCGCCTGGGGCAGGCGGGGCGCGCGCCGCGCGGGTCGGGCTCGGGCCCCGCGGGCGAGCGCGGCGAGTTCCGGGCGCGCGGGGCGGGCCCGGCGGCGCGGCAGCCGCTGTTTACCTGGCGCGCAGGAAGCCCGCGGGGCGCGCGGGCGGGGCGGGGACGCGGGGTGCGCGCCCGCGCCTCGGAGCCGCCGCCGCCAGCGAGCACGAGCCTGCGGCCCGGCCGCCCGCGTCCTCGGCCCCGGGACCCCGCGCCGCCCGCGCCCGCAGCCGCCGGAGTCGAGCGGGGAGAACGGCCTGGGGCCCCAGGGCGGCCCTCGGCCCCGGAGCGCGAGCGCACGGCAGGTGGGTGACCCTCGCGGGAGCGCGACCCCGGAACGGGCCCCCCGCCGGCCCGGGAGCGCGCAGGGGGCCGAGCAGGTGGCATGGCCGGGCGGCCTGTGGGACCCGACTTCGGGTCCCAAGCCCCGTGGTCACTGCGTGCGGGTGGTAGACGCCCTTTTACGGGCGGCAAGCACTGCCACCCGTCCGGTTTCCAAGTGTGGACCTCGGCCGACATGGTGGCCCCGGCGTGGCAGAACCGGGTGCGGGTGGAGGTGGGGAGGAGGCCCGGGGTGCGAGGTGAGCGCGGCGGCGGGCTGGTGGCCGGGGGTCCGGGGGTCCAGGCTGGCTCGCGGGCCTTCCTCGCGCCCCTCCCCCAGGGCAGGTGCAGTTTCCCTCTGAGCCCCGAGGGCGGCGCCGAGAGGCCGGTCCGGCTTACGCCTTCACGCGGCCCACCTGCCTGCCCCGGCCGCCCCCTCGCGCCTCGGCTTTGGGGGCCCCGGGTGGACCCGCTTCGGCGCCCTGTTGGGGAAGCTGGGGGTTGGGGGAGCCGGGAGCTACGCTGGGGCCCCTGGTAAGGCGCTGGCGGGAGGCGGCGTCTTTGGGGCCCTGGTTGTGCCGCCGGTGGGGCCGCCCGCGCTGGGCCTGGCGGTGCCGGGAGCGCAGGTGCTCCGGGTGCCTGGGGAACAGAGCTCATTAGAGTCGAAGGCTCGCCTTTTGCCACCTGCGTTTCTTGGAGCCTGGGTGCCCCCGGCCCAGGGAGGGTCCCCAGGTCGGGAGGCAGCTGAGCTGGCATCTCTGCCCTCCCAGGCGGGGCCTAGGCCACAGGGGCAGGGGGGACACTGACCCCCAGGACTTCCCTGCTCGGTTTGGACCACTTGTTATCCGCTGGCCGGGCAGCCCTGGGTGCAGGGTGTTTTTAAAGTCCCTGTCTGCCTCAGGCCGCCTGCTGGCTTTGCCTGGGTGTTCCCCCTGTGGTCAGTGACACGGTGCAGGTGTCAGGGAGCGCTGAAGACCGGAAACCAGGCCTCTCACGAGGTTCCTGCTCCCCTCTGAGTTGGGCTTCCTTGCTGTGACTGCCCGCTGTCTGCGTGGGCCATCCTCTCCTTGGCCTCCTGGGTTGTCTAGAGAGAGAACAGAGTATTTGGATGGCTCCCGCGTGGTGTTAAGTGAATCGTCTGTGTGCGATTGGACACTCGGGGTGTTCCGTTCAGCCCCCCTAAAGGAAGCCCCGGCAGAGAGCTCGCTGCTTGTTGGCCTCTGAGCGGTGGGGCACGCTCCTGCCGCAGGCAGGCCTCACCCAGACGAGCTGACCAGAGGGACAGGCGCGTTCCTGACCGGCTGCGAGGAATGAGCTTGCGCACTGCAGGCCTCAGGGCAGGACAGCGCAGGCAGGGTCTCCCGCAAATGGCAACCCGCGTAACTGCGTGTGTGTTTGGAACCACTGGGACTGCGTGGTCATTAAAATGTGGCTGTGGGAGCAGGCGTGTACCCAGTGGTGAAGGTGCCCGAGTCCCACGGTCGGTTCTTTCCTGGCCCGGCCCTGACTCCAGGTGTGTGCTGGTGTACACCCCGGGAGGCAGCCATCATGGCCGGGTGATCGGGGCCCTGCCAGTTACGGGTTGAAACCCAGATTGCATTCCTGGCCCTGCAGCCTGGGCCCCTGTCTGTTGTGGGCATTTGAGGAGTGAGCCAGTGCATAGGCGCTCTCTCCCTGTGTCTGCCCAGCCGCTGCGTGTGTGTGTGTGTGTGTGTGTGTGTGGTCTCTGCCCCTCAAATACATAACCGTAGTTCTGAGTGTTAATTTATCCTGGACTCGGTGAGGGGCTGTGAGACGCTATTATGATAAGCAGGAGACTGCAAACTGAGAATAAGCAGAGCTGTGTGATGTTCGCATCTGGAAGACACGAAGTGCTGTAACCGTCGGTGACCGTAAGCACACTGCTGTGGAGTGAAATCTGGGCCTGCACAAGCTGCACTGCGTGGACGGTGAAGGCCAGGTGGACGGACGAGACCCACGGAGGACCTCAGCGCTGATAACCAGGGGCGGAAAACCGGAGCGGCAGTTAGAACACGTCCACGCTCTCCTCCTGCGCCAGTTTTAAATCCTGACTCGGCTAAGCAGCGAGGAAGCGGGGTGACTCTCAGTGTGTCCATAGGAATCCCCACGGCAGGGGCCGTCCACCCAGCCGGACACAGCGGCCCCCTGGGACCCACGGGGTTCGCTCCAGGCACGTCCGTCCTCGCGGGAGCCTCGGGCAGGGCCAGAGCAGGACGCGTGCTCGCCAGTTTGTGATCATTGTAGATGCACAGGCACGTGTAACGAACCCCGGAGATGCCACGTGCCACTCCACTAGTTCCCCGAGTGCCACCATCTTGGAAAACTCGGTTCCGGCTGGCAGGCAGGAGGCCAGCGTTGATGCAGGCCCTTCTCCTCGTGCAGATGTCAGCAGTGTGTGTGTGAGTGTCCTCCTTGCTGTGTCACTGTCACCCACGGCGAGCCGTGTGACAGCCAGTCTGCAGGGCGGCTTCCTCCCAGGACGCCTGCTGGGTCCCTTGATGGAGTCAGCGCCCTGCACTGCCCCGCCCTGAACTCTGGAAACCACCGTCTCTTCCTCCTCTTCTGTAGCTTCGTCACTTCAAGGGCGCGCTCTGCTCACGCTGGGTGGCTCTCTTCCTCACTGAGCCCAGCTCCCTTGATGCCCGCACCTGAGGGCCATCGCGTGTCGCTGAGCTGGGCTGTGGTGTGGGTGGGTGGGCCCTCCCTCGAAGGGCACTGGATTCTTCCAGCTTTGGGTTTTTGCAGGTGCAGCTTCTGCGCCTCCATGCACAAGTTTCTTTCATTGCTCCGGGTGAATCCATGGGTGGAGTTGCTGAGTCGTAGGGGACGGACAAGGTTGTGTAACAGACTGTCAGCCCTTGTCCGGGAGAGCCGTGCCGTTTTACAGCCTCACCAGCGTGGCGTGCGTGGCCCGGATCCCACGGCCCGCATGGCTTTTGATGTCGCTGCTCTGTTGAGCGTGTGGAGTTAGCTCCTCGTGGATCCAGTCCGCAGTGCCTCGTGGCGGGCGAGGCAGGGGCCTCCCGTGTGGTCGCCTGCCAGCCGCAGACCCTCGGAGTCTGCTCCTGTCTTCGGCCCCCTTTCCAGGTGCCCTGTCACTGGTTCTGGTGTCGGCTGTGGACTCGCAGTAGCAGCACTTCCTGCTCCGTCTGCCACTTCGTCCTCTCCACCGGCTCTGTCGCAGAGGGGGTGTTTCTCCCTTTGATGGGTTCTACCTTACGAATGTCCCCTCCCTGGGCTGCGACTTTTGGTGGGGCATCCGGGAGCTCTTTACCTGGCCCACGGTCCCAGGTGCTTCTGTGCTTTTCTCATGCGAGTTGTATAGGGCCACACTCCGCGCTTCAGCCTGTCGTGTGTTTGCAGTTAAGTGGAGGGTTTCTGTGCGGCTCGGCTCATTCTGTCCAGTCGCTCCAGGACGTACCGAGAAGGTGACCCCTCCTCCGTGCTTTGTGCTTGGCTTCTGAGAGGTCAGTTCTGCACACTTTTGGGGTGCCGCTGGTCTGTGTCAGCCTGCCTGCGCTGCAGCGGCTGCTCAGGTACGGCGAGTGCGCCCCAGGATTCTTCTCGCTCTCTCCTGTCCTTCACCCGGCTTCTTGTGCAGTTGAAACCTAGCAGAGTTGGGAAACCTGCCGGCAAAGCAAACCCAGAGCCACGTCCAGCGTGCAGGAGGGCAGGCACAGTTACCGTAGAGAGAATTCATCCAGCGGCCTCGGCGTGCGAGGTGCCGGGCCAGGCGTGGCGGGGTCGGCCTCGGCGTGCGAGGTGCCGGGCCAGGCGTGGCGGGGACGGCCTCAGCGTGCGAGGTGCTGGGCCAGGCGTGGTGGGAAACCGCAAGGGAGAGCAGGTGTAGAGTCCACAGATAAGCTCCCCAAGGCAAAAGGTTGGCCCAAGCCCTGCCTTGCATCCAGACAGACCCCTGCCGGTCTTCAACGTCTCTAAGAGGGTTCCCATATGAGTGCCCGTTGGAGTCCCGGCTGCTCCACTTCTGGCCCAGCTCTCTGCTGTGGCCTGGGAAAGCATGGAAGATGGCCCGGGTCCTTGGGCCCCTGCACCCACGTGGGAGATCCCAGTGGAGTTCCTGCCTCTCGGATTTGTTTTGCTCAGAGACAGCTGTCGTGGCCGTTTAGAGAGTGAATCGGCAGATGGAAGATCTCTCTCTCTCTCTCTCTCTCTCTAACCCTGCCTTTCAAATAAGTCCTTTAAGAAATGTAAGAAGACAGTTGTTCCTGGAGAGGCAGCGTAGCTGGTTTTAATCAGGAGTGAGCTGCAGAGTTGTATTCCCCTCTCACTCAGTCCCCCGTCCAGGTCTGCTGAAGCCCCCCGGCCGTGCCTGGGACCTTGCTGGGATTCCCAGTTCCAGGTTGTGCTGCCTGCAGATGCATCCCCACCCTGGCCCACCCCCTGGGCCACCCCTGGCCCACGCCCTGGCCCACCCCCCCCCCCGGCCCACCCCCTGGCCCACCCTCTGGGCCACTCCCTGGCCCACCCCTCTGGCCCACTCTCTAGGCCCACCCCCGGACCACCCCCCTGGCCCACTCCTGGGCCCACCCCCTGGCCCACCCTCTGGGCCACTCCCTGGCCCACTCCCTGGGCCCACTCTCTAGGCCCACCCCCAGCCCACCCCCCTGGCCCACCCCCTGGCCCACCCCCTGGCCCACCCCCTGGCCCACTCCCTGGCCCACCCCCGGCCCACCCCCGGCCCACCCCCGGCCCACTCCCTGGCCCACCCCCGGCCCAGCTTGGAGAAGGGCCCGCTGCCTTCTGCAGCTTAGGCACGTTTTGCGCACCAGAGCTTGGAAAGTTCCGTCCCGAATCGCGTGCTGCGAAAGGCTGGAACCGCTTCCTTCGCGGGGAGCCTGCTGCCGGCCGGGGGCCTCGTCTGGCTGCACTAGCAGATGGAGGGGCGGTTCTGCCAGTCCGCTCATTCTCGCGTCTGCGCCACCAGCGCCCGGCGTGCACAGCA